TCCCTCTTTTTGGCACAGGGGGCACCGCACATCAGCAGTGCACCCCTGTGCCACGTGTCCGGCCCCTCCGCACCGGAAGCAGCGGCCCGCCAGACCATTATCGGTCTGGCAGGTCGCCGCCATATGGCCATAGTGCAGGCACTTATAGCACTGGAAGGGCCGATCCTCCAGTACTCTAATTTGGGCTTTACCCCATCCCACTATCAGCCCCCCGGCTTTAACCAATTTTTGGGCCGGTGTCAGCGGGCACCGTACCCAAACCCCCCCTAGTCCCCCGGACGATCTCCTGATCTCCCCGATCTGGAGATCGTCCGGGGGGCAGCCTGTGGCCTTCAGGATAGCGGCCCGTACCATTAGCACTGTCACGGAGTCCTCCAGTCCAACGACGCGGAGCTCTGTCCTCCTCGTCGGCCTGGAGACCACCGCGTCTCCGCTCAAAGCATCCTGGAGATCCCTAGCCAGGCGATCGGCTTTACTCCGACCGTCCTGGCCAGGGATCTCCAGGATGACCCCCCCGTTTCTGGCCCGTTTTATTTTAAATTTGCCCGGCTCCAGGCCGACCTCCTGCAGGTCGACCCGAAGCCTGGCTTTGGCCATAACCTTCGTAATGGAGGGACCCCCCGGCAACGCGGTCACTGTCACGACCGGGTTGCGCGGGGGGTTCCTCACCTGTGGCTTTTTAGGGGGCAGAGAGGGTCCCTTCTTCGGGGTCCCCTTCCCTCCTGCCTTCCCTCCCTTGGGAGGAGATGCCGCCTTCTTCGCGGCTCCTCCACCCATTGGCAAAGGAGGGTCAGGCCGCTCCCTCTTCCCTCCCTTACACTGCCCCTTGCGGGTGGACACGGTTGTCCACTCGCCACGCCCCTCCCCTTCGGCTGCCGATTGCCGTGGAGGGGGGCGAGAGGGGTTGGCCCCGCTGCCCGCAGCTGCCGCCGCTGGAGAAGGCAAGAGCCTCTCCAGCAGCCGCCCAATGCGGGCGATTTCGGACTTGAGGCCCCGTACTTGTACTTCCAGGGCCCCAAGTCGTCCATCCGGGCCATCCTCCCTCGCCTGCCTCCTGTAATCTTCGATAGCCTCCTCTATACAGAGGAGGCTCTCCCTGAACTCCTCATTGAGGTCCTCCAGGAGTTTCCCATTACCCTTGGCGGCCCTCAGAGAGGGATCCACCCGAACGGTCCTCACGTAGTCGATTCCGTCGATGACCCGTTCGGCCAGATACCTCTCTCTCTTCTCCTCGGCAGCGGGCCTCCGCACGGGCGGAAGGCCCCACTGGTGGCGCCCCGTACGCCCTTCCCTGGCTCCTCCCTCCCGCGCGTTATGGAGAGGAGTCCCTCCTACCGAGGACTCTTCGTCCTCAACAGGAGGGAACTCCTCCCCTGGGAAAAGCTCCTCCCATTTCTGCGTGGCGGACAGGTGTTCCACCTCTCCCGCACGCATGCAGGGAACTGCACTCCCCTCCTCCCGATGGGAACTAACGTCCTCGAGGGGAGGGAAGTGCATATCCCTGTCTCGCCACAGTTGCGAGGCGGATTCCTCCGCTTCGCGCTTCCGTCTTTTGGCACTCTTAGGGCCGGCGAAGGCCGAGGGTGGGCCCATACGACCCACACTCGGCCTCAACCGGTCCTGGAGAGCCCCCCTGCGGGCGGTAGCCAGTTCCGGCGGCGCGCCCGCCTGGCACGCGCCGCCCAGTCCGTCGCATGATGACGACGTGGAGGGGCCGGGACTGTACGCCCTCTCACGCCGTTTTCCGGCTCCGAGTACCGGAAGGTGTTCTCCTGTTCTTGACATTTCTTCATATAATGCAGGGGTTTACGTCCCCTGCCGAACGGGTGTGATTTCGGGGTTTTCCTTCCCCTAGACCGGTTGCCTGCCAAGGCTAACGAGCCCGCTCTGCCCGCGCTGTAGGGTCCTTTGGGCCTCACGAATGAGACCCTCCAGACCCTGGATAAAACCTGGAGGCAGCTGCCCATCCAGGAGTGTTATGGACACTCTTAGTCTGGCCTCTCTGTACAGACCTCTCCGGCATGGTAGAACCTGCCAGGGGCCGAAGCCCCCGCCGGCACAGCTCTGTACATCATCGGGGCACGCAAGCCCCCCCACCACGTCAAGGTGGTGTCCACGGGGGGGTGGTCGTGTGACTCCCAGGTTTTCGCTAATTTCTATCAACGACCGATTCTTAACCCGACAGATTTTTGTACTTCCGTTCTCTTATCTTAAGTGTTATTTAATGTATTATTGTGCTTTCTTATTTATTTTATAAAGTTGATTAAATGGCAAATCGTGCCCTTCCTCCATTCTTTGAACATCTACATAGTTTATCCATCCGGACGAGACACTTTGGCATAATTGTAAGATTAAACGAACTTACCAAGTGAAGTTCGATCTTAATTATGCCTGGTGTCTCGTCTGGATGGACTTTCCTCACTCTCAAGACTTGCACGTCTTGTTTTACACTCCCCGACTTTGGTCAACGATTTGCCTTCTTTAGATTTAAACTTAATGAGGGGAATAGGCGCGGGGCACCGCGGGATGCAGGACGACACCAAATAAATACTGCCGCTGGCCGTGCGGCAATTTTTATTTTTATATATCTGTGAACGTTGTTGATAATGCAATGCAGGGGCATGACTACATAGTTTATCCATCCGGACGAGACACCAGGCATAATTAAGACCGAACTTCACTTGGTAAGTTCGTTTAATCTTATAATTCTCTGTTGGATGTGGAAAATAATTTTTAATATTATGATAGGTATCAACAAATATGTTACAACCCAGTTCTCGTAACGCACCACAGTTTGTGCTTTCTCCATCACAGGTTATTGAACGAACTTTTATATTTACTTCTGATGTTAAAGTTAACGTAATTTTAATTAATGCTGCTAATACAGAAGAACTCATTTGACATTTGAGGAAATACCCAATTGGCCATTTCCATGTTCCTTTCAAACTCACCAGTAGAAACACTAGTGCTTCTTTAGCTTCGATATCATTTCTTTCTACGGGGTGCGACGTTTCTTTTGAAGCGCCGACAAACCGCCGTCGGTCCGTGCGCCGCGGTCTTGCACCAACCAAGTGTTGGGCGCCAGGTGCAGCGAGTTGCACCACTCACCAACGACGAAGCTTCCCCGCGGCGCGCGAATCCGTCGGGTCCGGTAGCTCGAGATTAATTCGAGTCTGCAGACGGGAAGGGTTCGTCGGAAATCGGGAAAACGAGAAGGCGGGAAAGAATTAGAACGGCGCGACTTCTATGAAAATTCGCTTTATTCTGGTCGGAAGTCGGTACGTTCCGAATCTTCGCGGGACGGTATAGTTTCTCTCCGCCCGCTTACTCGCAAGTTCGCTACCGCTCGGCGCAACAAAACCAAATTTCTAACGATACCCGCAAACGCACGGAACACCAAAAACAAGCAGGCGGACGGTCTTACAATTACGGGCATCTCCCGGCGGCGTGGTCCTCGATAGTCGACGGGTCGGTCAGCCCGGTCGCGCGTCCAGCGGCAGCTCGGCTTCTCCGCAGCCTTGGCTTTCGGCCCGTCACGGCCCTCCTCTGCTTTTTCGGTACTCTTGGGAGCTCTCGGGAACTCTCCCTAGATTTCCTCTCTCTAGCGAGCGGCACACAAATCTTTCTCCCTCTTACGAGCGGCACACAAATCTTTTTCTCTTACGAGCGGTACACCAATCTTTTTCTCTCACGAGCGGTAATTCGGTCTTATCGGTTTTAGCCCAAAAACGAATCTGAATCTTGTCTTCGAGGCGAGAAACTCATCTCGTCATCGAGAGAGAAAAACGGATCTTCCCGTCTCTCGTTTTTTTTATCCCTGTTATTCCTTCCTCTCTTTTTCGTCCGGGAATCCTTCCGCGAATTCTGTTGACATCCGCGGAACGGATTCCTTGTCTCGCTCGCTCTCTCTCGGTCTCTCGCTCTCTCTCTCTCTCTCTCTCTCTCTCTCTCTCTCTCTCTCTCTCTCGCTCACGGCGTCTCACGAGCGTGGCTCTTTGTCCGTCTAGCCGTTGTCTTTGGCTAGCGACCCATACGTCGAGAACGTGTTCGACGGTAAATTGCTGCCTCATTCGTGTTGTCGTGTTAGCCTGCGAAATAATACACGGCAGCGGTAATCATTGCGGAATAACGATAAACTTTCGGCGACGGGACGAGAAAAGAGCGCACTCACCTGGCCGCGCCGGGCGGTGAGCGACGTCCTCGGCATCCTCCCTGGTCTTCCTGTCCGGGTGGCCGGCTCGGGAGGTCCATGGGCACAAATCTTGGGGGCGTGGGACCGTCGCACCTGCACGCTCCTAATTCTTAAGGCTAATTACTTGGGGGGGGGTAATTCGGCTTTCCCCCCCCCGCGATTCACGCTTACGGACCGAGGGTTTTTTCCTTGTGACGGGCGCCCCCACGGCCGCCACGTCACAGGGGATGTCATATCCATAATCGCAATGTCCAATGAATTTTTCTTGCTATTCATTCGATAACAATTGTTGTCGAATTGACATACTATCAAAAGTTAAACTGCAATCTGTATCTTCTTTTGGGCTGTTTTTCAATTTTTCTAAAATTTCTTTGTGAAAACCGGGTTCTGCATTTACTGTACAAGTCCAAGCCCTAAGTGAACTTGGATTAGGCAACACAAAATGTTGTCTATAAAAATATAATAGTAATATTATTACCTGAACAATTGCACAATTCTAGTAAAAGTGTTGTACATTAAATTATAAACTGTACAAGATGAATCTTTTTTAGCTCATAGAGCATACTTTTATGCTTGAAGTTATTCTTTATTCTTACAAAGAAATATTATATACTGACTGTAGTAAAATGAGTAGCAATAAATTGTTGCTCAGTAATTTTATTATTCATATTTAAACTAATATTACTAACTAACAGTAATTTCTCACTGATTGACTCACTGAATTTATCACAGTTAGTACACAATTCATATATTCTAGAAATGTAAATACTTAATATTTATATTTTTAAAGTATTATAAGCATGAAACATTAATGCAATAGTAAATTACAATATTGCTTGCATATAAAATGTTAAGAAAAAGTGTTTTATTAAAGAAATATTCCTTATTTAAGAAATATTCCAGTAAATAGTATTTAATAAGTGAATTATAAAATAATTAGTAAGGAAAAAGGCTAACTTATTCCAAAGAACATAAATCTCCACAAAACGTTCTAAAGTATGTTCTGCTGACATCCTAACGATCAACCGCAGAACAATCTGTAGACATCCTTTAGAGATTTTGCACTGTGTGGAGTTAAAGAAGATAAAGAAGATAACCCAACTTGTTACAATTAAATGCATAATTATCTAAGTATTGATTATGTATACTTGCTTATGTAAAATGGTTTTCATGCATTTTTTGTGATGAAATTGCAGCGCTCCAAGTTATCACAATTATAACTCAGCAAACACAATGTAACATGTAACATACTTGTTAGTTGTAATATACGAGATATGAAAAAATACTTACCTTTTACTAGAAGAGGCATAAAATGCAAATGAAAAAAAGGAAGAGACGTGCAAACATACCTACAGAAGTTATAAACTTTAAGAGAATGGTAATAAAGCGTAAGTGCGAACTGTTTTACCTCTTCGTTGTAACGCCTGCCACGAGAGGCCTTGTTTCTGTTCAATTTTTCGTTGTTTATAATATGTTTGAATGTAGTTTGAAACTGACTACTTAAAATATCAAATGATTCCTCATGTAATATTTTTTTGTTCTTGGCTTCTTTTAGCAGATTGGCTATTTTAACATTTGATCTTTTCCTTTGCCGATTTAATAATTTGACTTTATTTAATTTAAATTGACTTTATTTAAAGCAGATGTTAATTTATTTTTCATTAACTTTTTTTGCTCTTGTAACAACCGCTGATAAGTATCTGCTACATTTTCCAATTGTTTCTTACGATCGTTTTTCAACGATTCCATCAGAGCTGTCAAACATTCATTTTCTGCTTTTAGAGTTTCAATTTGTAATAATAAATTATGTGGCTTATCTGTAATAATATATTTATTTTTATACATTATCTCTGTAAAAACAAAAAATTTATTTGTATTTTCAATACCAAACTTCTAGGCATATGCGTACATACCTTCTGCAGGATCAGATACAATATGTACATCCATGTTAAAATTTGCATCTTTCCCAACAGTTCTTTCTGCTGAAAGAAATAGTTTCTTAATTTCATTTTAAAATTTGTAATAATTATTAATATGCTTAATATGTTTAATAAACATATACCTTCTGTAAGATCAGGTACAATATTTTCATCCATGCTACAAATGGTAGGACCTACAGCTGTTGCGACAGTTACTGTCAATTAGAGTATTTTATTGATATTGCTATTATAAGGAATATATTAGTAATTAAACACATACCTTCTCTGCTGTCAGTAAGATCAAGTGCAATATTTTCATCCATGCTACACATGGTAGAACCTGCAGCTGTTGCAACAATTACTGTCAATTAAAGTATTTTATTAATATTGTTATTATAAGGAATATATTAGTAATTAAACACATACCTTCTCTGCTGTCAGTAAGATCAGGTGCAATATTTTCATCCATGCTACACATGGTAGAACCTGCAGCTATTGCGACAATTACTGTCAATTAAAGTATTTTATTAATATTGTTATTATAAGGAATATATTAGTAATTAAACACATACCTTCTCTGCTGTCAGTATTAACATGTCCATCTATTAACAATATTTCAAAATTATAAATTTTATAATATAATAATTGTTAATATTAATCAAGAACAATATTTATTAATAAAATTAAACACTTACATAAATTTATTAGATTATTTAATTCTTTCAATGGGTCTGTTTGTAGCATTAAAAATTCTGTTGGAATTGCATTTATTTTTAATCTTTTTCTTTCTCGTCCAGAAAGAAATTCTTTTTTAAAATGTCGCTCCCAAATTATACTACTTGTAGTTATAGGGCAGTGTATTTTATTTTTAATAGCTGTAGTCCATTTATCTAATAAAACTATATATTACTATATAGCTATATATATAATATATATATAACTATATATATAACTATAAATATATATATAACTATATATATATAACTATAAATATATATATAACTATAAAAATAATATTCTACATAAAATGTTACAACATATATTTAATATACTTACTTAAAGAAAGAAATTCCACAGTTTTTTCTTTGTACATTTTGACATTCATCTATGATACACTTGTGCGGCATGTTGACTTCCTTTATGTTAATAATGGTATAATTTATTTTATAGGCTATATTTATTACTTACTCTTAAAGGCAATTTATTGCAGAAATACTTGCGTGTTTTTGCTGAAAATTATGCAGTTTCCTGGCCATTCTGCTGAATTTTCGTTATATATCAAGGCCTGATTTTTTTATGAAAATCCCACAAAATAGCCAGTAAACCATGTAATTTCCAGCAAAATAACCAGGAAGATTTCCACATGAACACGCAAGTAATTCAACAAGAAAAATCGTACTGTGTGGCAATGGCTTTAATCATTTATAAGAAGAATATTTTGTAAGTTCTTTTTCGATATAAATTTAATATACATACTTTTATATTTTCCCAAATTCTTACACTACACTACACACTACACACTATGCGGCCATATGCTCACAATGTAAACAACATTCCTTGTGCGCTTATTTGGCGCACGCGCAGCAACGCACTTTTAGCACATACTTTTGGGGGACAGAAATGTAAAGTCAAAATATAAGAAGTTAGCAGTCTAGTTGTTATATAGAAGTCTGTGGTCCACATGGATACTCTGAGTCGGCTATGAGTGCGTGCGTGGTGGGGGAAATCAGAAAAGAGGTGTGGACATTGGCAACGTAGTTCATGTGCACGGTTGTGCAGAGGGCGCCTCACACTGGGCTCGGCTTTTAGGATTTTTGTATCTTCTTGCTCTCTCGCCGATTACAAGTGGAGGGTAGGTTTCTAAATTAACCTAGGCGTGTTCTTCTTCTCTTTATTGCGCACGTGCCTGCCAGTTGCAGAGCACGTGAATCGCAGGTACGGCTTATGTGCCTCGAAGATACAAAAAACAATTTTTGCTCTCGCACGACATACGAGTCACAGCGGGACTCGTATGTGTATGTGTGGGCCGAACGGAGCCGATGCTCCTGCCTGCCTGCCCTCGCACACTCTCGATCGCGTGTAAAAATCGCGGTGTCACATACGACAATGGAAGAATGATCAAGCTATGAACTAGCGATCGTATATCCGTGAGCTCTGTGAGCGCTTCCAACGATTACTAAATCGTTACTCTTTTTCCCCGCACGAGTGACACTTGCGCGCGTTCTATAGCGCCGCACGGAAAACGGATGCGTGCGCTTTGGGGAGCTCAAAGTCCCCACAGGCTAAAAGTCGCCCGTGACCTCTCTCCTTCTTTCTGGTAATACTAAAGACTCAGCTCTCTAGGTAAATTTTCGTATTGACAAACTGGTCCTCGAGACCTGGCGATAATTGAAGAGCGATGGCAATACCGACTATTTTAGCTATCTAAAAATAACACGACATTTATACCATGCTATATTTCGATTTTACCATGGCGATACAAATTACCGACAATACAAAAATTTATGTATCGTTACTATGATAAGTCTATTGCGTTGTTTGAATTTTTCGCACTTGACTCCTTCATTCTTACTTCTTTCTGTTGTCTTTTACTACTAAAAGTAACTCTAAAATTCTAAAACAACTATCCAAGAGGTTTATAAGTCTTGTTTAGAATTGCTTTTAGCGATAAAAGAGAGTTCACCTACGAAAAACAGTTAAAAATATTTTAAATATGATTTATATTTGTCTTTTATATAAACCAAGTTAAATTCGAAAACCAATGTATTAATTTAAAAAATAATTTAATTCAAAAATGTTCTTAAGATGCATTCAAATTAAATTTGATGCTTTAGATTAACTTTGTCCAGGCGCATATATAGATCATATTAATATTTAATATACATCTAACTAAAACTGAGTCCAAATTAGATATTTGAAATAAATAAAATTTTAATTAACACTTAACTTTGTTTTTATTCGAGTTTAACTCGATCCACATAAAGGACAAATATGATATTATATATAAAATATATTTAACTGCTTTTCGCGAGCATAATAAAAGCCTATATTATAATTTGTATTGCACTAGAAAAGGCGTATAAATATGTTTTTACTTCAGTAGAAAAAATACACTATATTAAAAGGTTTTTCGATCTGTGAAACGTTATATTAATTGCGAAGGCGACAGAGCACCTTTTCCGATAATCTAAATATCCGACAGCACGAATTGAATTATGGGTTACAACTGCCGACATAGAATGGATTACTGATTGCAGTGGTGGATAAGTGATGGTAGAAAAGCGAGTATAACACACCGTAGAAAAACAAAAATTCTGACGGCACTGTATCATTATAACTAGAGTTCTATTACGGTGTATTATACTCTTATTTGAAAAAGAGACAGATCCTCTTATATCGTCTGTATCTTACTCTACTCGCGTGTTTACCCCCACCATTGCAATCAGCAATCCATTTAATGTGTCGATAGTTGCAACGAATGAAACTTGTATCTTTAACAACTTAATGTTCGGTTGAGATGATCAAATATATTCTTGGAACAGAAACGTCCTATTAAAATTTTTTTAATGTTGCAACCGAATTTTCAGTTGATTCCTAAAAAACCGAAAGTTTGGTTATTGTTGGAACTGGAATTCAGTTACATCAATTATATAGTTTTCTGCGTATACAGGGTGTCCTATTTTAATGTCCCACCCCAAATAACTCTTCAGTATTGAAGTTTCAAGGAAAATGATCTAAATAAAAATTATAGGGATTTAAGTGAGCTACCTTATGATGACCCTGACTTTAACCTTGATCTCTATTTTCAAGGTCATTTAAAGGTCAACTTGCGATTTTTAGATGGAAACCCTTATTTTTATTACACTATTTTTTTCTACTAGTTAATTTGTAGAACTTTTGTCTAAAACATTTTTTTATTTGTCTAATATTTTCTGAGATATTTGAGGAAAACTTGATAACTTTTTCAATATTTAACTTACGATATCTCGCTAACTATTTGTCGGAAGAAAAAGTGATACTAGACTTTCTTGCTTTATTTAGCCTTAAGAATACATTGTTACAATAGCGCCCTGATTTTTGTTAATTTGATGATTTTGAAATTTCTAAAAATCAGTAAGTTAACAAAAGTCAAGGTGCTATTGTAGCAATATATTCTTGAGACTAAGTAAAACAAGAAAATCTAATACCACTTTTTCTTCCGACAAATAGTTAGCGAGATATCGTAAGTTAAATATTGAAAAAGTTATCCAGTTTTCCTCAAATATCTAAAAAAATATTAGACAAATAAAAAAATGTTTTAGACAAAAGTTATTCAAATTAACTAGTAGAAAAAAACAGTGTAATAGAAAATTAGGGTTCCTATTTAAAAAATGCAAGTTGATCTTCAATTGACCTTGAAAATAGAGATAAAGGTCAAAGTCAAGGTCATCATAAGGTAACTCACTTAAATCCCTACAACTTTTATTTAGATCATTTTCCTTCAAACTTCAATACTAAAGAATTATTAGTGTGGTCCGTTACTTTTGGGACATCCTGTATATCTTATACATTAGACGTGATGACTTGTTACATGCGTGGTAGCAGGAAAAGATACTTTATAAAACTGGTTTTGCTTATGAATAGCCTACGTTATATAACCTTACGTTATATAATAGCCTTGGAAGGACTACAAAAACGCAATGTAATTATGTGAAGAAACAATGACGCAGCAACAAGGACCTATTATATATGGCGTGCGCGTGAAATAACTTGCAATATGTCTTAATTTGTCGGGACGGTAAGACGTATTGGAAAGATTCAAATTCCGTTTTAAATTTTCGTAAGTGAAATACCGTGCGATTAACGTGCGAAAACTGTGCTTAAAAGACTTTACGAAATTCAACAAGAATAAGTTATCACTATAATAAGACAGTTGCTAAAAGAATTTGATCTCTTAACTTTAATTTCTTGACATTAAAGTTGTGAAGAATATCTAGATTATTAAACAGTACAATGAAAGTGTTCTTCTATGTTTTCTTAATAATTACACTGACAACGTTCAGCCTAATATCACTTGGAATGTCAAAAAGTATCTGTCCAACAACACAGATTCCGTCTACGACCGACATAGGAGTGTCAGAAAGAGTACCTCCAGCAACACAACTTCCGTCTACGACGGATGTAGGAACGTCAGAAAGAATACCTTCATCAACACAGCTTCCATCTGCGACTAACATAAGAATGTCAGAAAAAGTCCATCCAGTGACACAGCTTCCGTGTACGACCGACATAGGAATATCAAAAAGAATCCGTCCAACAACACAGCTTCCGTGTACAACCGATATAAGAATGTCAAAAAAAGTCCGTCCAACGGCACAGCTTTCATCTACGACCAACACACCTTCAACATCATACGAATCATTGATTGATATACGTGTTATTATAGACACCCCGCAATTTAACGTAGTAACCTGCTCACCAGGAAAACTAAAAGACCCACGCGGAATATGTCGCAACAGGGAATAGTGTTAAAGACAAGCAGATAATTATCAATTAAAAATTTGTTATTTTTAATTGTAACAAAAGAAATTATACAGGCGTTCATGGCCCACATAAAGTGTGACGACATAAAAACTCTAAAACTATTTGTTGTATCAAAAAATTGTTTATGACAAAACTTCACTATATTCGAGAAGTCTTTTTAACCGTATAAACAAATTTACACCCACGCTTTCCCCTGAAAAGAGATGGAAGGTAACTTTGTAATTTCAAATCAAACCTCCTATAAAATGTTACACATTTCTATGGGATTCTACAGAAAAAAACAAGTAAACTTTATCTGAGAAATTTCTTGAAAAAATATTTTTGTCGAAAGTTATAAATAAAATTAAACTTTACAATAAAATATAATGCATTTAAACTAAAGTAATAAAACCATAAAATAAATAAAAAACTTCATAGTTTTTCACATGTCTTATTTTACTAAATGTTTGAACTGTTGACCATTCACATTTAAACACTTTGACTGTGTTGACCATTCACATTTAAACACTTACTAATTCTTTTACAAAATTTTGTCTATCTCTAAACAATATTTGTGGGGTTACGTTAGCGTAAGCTTGACGTATTCTTCATTTTAAATCTTTTTTCGTCGTAGGTGGTTAAAACAACTTTTTCTTTGATACATCCCCATGGTTAAAAATGGATGACTATACTAATGCGTGTATGTGTACTATGTATTTATGTTTTTTTTTGTTTGTATCAACTTTCTTGTCTTTGTTTTTATTGAGAGACTTGAATAGAGTACAATATCCTTCATATCATAGAGTTCAATATCCTACACATTCATCGATTTGAAAAACTAATATAAGCTTATATATGTTCAGTCAGTTCTAAGTTGACTTTCGTGGTATTATTTTCGAAAAGCATGGCTTGATTTCATAGAACATAGAAGTTTATATGCTAATTATTTGCTAATTCCGGAAGAATGTGAGAAAAATTCTCGACATGAAGCAGAACTATCCCAGTAAACACAGTTACATTACATTGTCGTAATGTAATAAAATATAACACGTAATATAACATGTACGTTACAAGTAACTGTTACGTCCTAGAGGAGGAGCGCAACCTTTCCGTTCGCGGGAAAGGCGAACCTCGTTCGTCACATGTGTGTCAGGGAATGGGTCAGGGATTCGACGGATCCCTTTCACTCGCTGACGTACGACGAGAGGTCCGTTTTTCGGTCAGGGACGCGAATTCCTTTACCGGGAATAGGACCATGAGTCGACTGCTGGAAGGTGGGATGATTTTGAAATTAATTAGTGAAAATAGATTAATAATAAATTTTTTAAAAATAAGGATAACAAACAAAATACTACAACGGCGCGATTTAGAATATGACAATTTACAGTTACGCGAATGATTGTATGCGTATGTGTGTGTGTGTGTGGGTGTGAAGTAGAAAAAAAAGGGAACGAAAAAAAGGAAGGAATACGAATAGAAAGTTAGTCGGATGAGGGGCAACGAGAGCGGTCTGGCGAGTTGAGGGGAGTGGACAGTTCGGAAAAAGGGACAGGAGAATAAGAAATTGAAGGGCTCGAGGGGGTGGACGCGCGTGTAGGAGAAGAGGAAGGAGCAGGGGATGACCGTTGAGGGAGAATGTAGGGTGGTATAAAGAGGAGTGACGGATCTGGGTTATAGTTAGTTTCTAATGAAATATTGATATTCGCTCGGAGGTATTGAGAGTTAGATTTCTATTGCA